AAATGGGCTATTTTTCTATTTTCTTTAATAATGGTCCTAGCAGGCTATAATTAGATTCGTTCGATTCCGTAGGCGACAAGGAACAATTTGTATATCTCAGAATTTCGGAAAAGTTCCTAGTTTTCGAGAAAATCGAGATTTTCTATTTTTGTAGTTCCAACTTTCACCGCTAGATGGACGATAATTTTTTAGTCCATTAAATGGGCTATTTTTCTATTTTCTTTAATAATGGTCCTAGCAGGCTATAATTAGATTCGTTCGATTCCGTAGGCGACAAGGAACAATTTGTATATCTCAGAATTGCGGAAAAGTCCCTAGTTTTTGAGAAAATCGAAATTTTAGTTTTTCGTAGTTCCGCCGCTCGCCGCTAGATGGCGCCACCTGTACCGTTTTGGACCGAATTCTACAAAAATTGATTTTCTGGCTTTATTAGGCATCAAAACGCATCAAACCCTAATAGAAATTTGTTTCTAAAGGCCTCAGGAACCATACTACGTCGCCAAAGTGCCGAAATATTCATTTTTTTATTTTCCTTATATGCGCGTTCGGACCCTCATTTTTTAGGTTTAGTTCACCCGTTTCGCCGAAGTCTATGAGGATTAGTTTTTTCGGTGATTATTCCTCCGTGGCAAGTCCGATTAAAAATTTTTTTTCTATGTCCATCTGGATGTACATATGCATGTGCGTGCAAAATTTGATGAGAATTGGTTTAGTGGTGCAAAAGAAAAACGCGGACAAAGAAGTTGCAAAGTCAAGTATAAGAGCTTCGCTCGCCTTCGGCTTGCTCGCTCAGTTATGTTATATTTTATTTTGTTTTGTTTACAATTATTAGCGACATCTATTATTATATTCTTTTTCCGTACACAGTATACTCATTTTCAAACTTTAAAAGTGAATCTATTTTTAGCTTCTGTAGTTTTTATCACGGTACACGTAAACATGCTACAATGCCATCCATTCGAAGCAACAACAGTTGCCGCTTTTATTAACTTCTTAATGCGCTCATTGATGGCCTCCGCTTCAAGTACGTTGTCTGAATTCCTGTAACGATATCATGGTTTACACAATTTTTTTATAACTTCCCTCATAAATCATGATAATAATAAAAGATATATACAAATTTGTAAAATGACTCTCCAATTCTTTTCCTTTTTTAAAAATGTTGTTCTTCTTCTCAAGGTCGGACCAATAACGTTTCTGAATTTCGCAAACGACTCTGGCGATGCAAGTTGGAGAAATTTGTTGTCCGCCTTCATTATCGTAAGCCTATTTAATAATACATAGAACAATACATGTGACATTGGTTCGAAATAAATTCGTAGAAAATTACGAAGAAAATCACGTATTCAATACGAGCGAGGAATGTACCTTGGTAGCGTTAATTTTCAAGGCTTTTAGAAGATAATCGATGTAAAGATCGTCACGTGCGATGGGAAGGCTCGATCGTTTCCTTCTTCCCGACACAATACCAATCGGGAGAAGAACAGGATTTGCGGCCAAAGCCGCGGCTGCTCCGATCAAAGCGACACCGGCTAACGCTTTTAAGGCTACAGCCTAATATAGAAATGATCGTATAAAAAGTTATCCACGATACGCCGTAAACAAGGAAAACGCGATAAAACGTTCGAAAATTAATCAGCACCTTCTGTGCTTGAATATTTGGTTGCAAGGATGCATTTCCTTCTGGGTAATTTGGCTCTGCAGTTCCGAATTCATCGCCATTAGCGAAAGTGCCTGAAATTCCATAACCACCACTACTAGTTGACCCTCCGTAGCCCTTGGGTCGGTTAAAACCATATTCTCCGTATGCTCCGTATCCACCGTAATCGTATCCTCCAGAAGTCGTAGAGTCGTAACTTCCAGGTTTACGCGAACTTTCGCTTCCATATTTTGGACGGGAAGCAAATCTGTCGCTCGTAGGAAGGAGCGTTAAAATAGTTTCGCAAAATTGTCAAGGATAATCTCGATTGTATAATAATCGATTACCTGTCTCCTGCTTGACTCCCTTGGTATAACGAGTTTCCAAGGTAGCTTTCACTTCCGGGTCTTCCTGTACTTCCGCCCCAACCTGGAGGTTGTCCTTGCGTCTGCCATCCGTACCTAGAGAGTAGAGGTTAATCGTTCGTTGCTGAACTCGCGTTTCGATGTATCCCTCGAGTTCAATTATTCGATACTACCTATCGGTTGGTAAACGTTCGCCGTATTTGGACGAATATCGACCGCCAATAATTGTAGGAATATGATTGTAGTAAGAATCAGGCCGTGTAGAAAAATTAGAATCGTATTTGGATCCGCAACAGCTGGAACTTGCACGTTATCATTTTTCATAATGGAACGGTTTCGAGAACAAGAAGGTTTTTTTACTATCTAACTTATCTCTGGACTCCGACTCCGGTCGATGGTTCACTGTTCTCGGTTGTTTGTCCAAATTTTTCTCGTTCGTCACACTGTCGTTACTCTTTATGTACGATATCTTCGAGGAATTTTTAGCTCGAACTATACTCGCTAATTGATTGCCATCGATGAATTGTTTGTTAACGAGTTCAGTGGTTGCAGCTTTTTCCGAGAAAATGCAACATACTAGAGTAGTTATTAACGGAATGCAAATAAATCGATACGACATCGTAACGTTATACGTAACTAGTCATAAATAAATGAAACGAAAGCAAGCTTTTTAGACACGGTTCGAAGTAAACACGAAGCTAGAGTGACTCTTCCCATGGCGTAGTTTCACCTTTTTATATAGTTGTCGCGCATGGAATATCGTCGCGTATTTGCCCTTCAGGACCGGGAACTTTCTTCTCGTTATCATTTCATCGATCGAAGTTACTTGCCGAAGAACGGACGCGACAGTACCTTTTTGAATCAATTTATTATAATAGAAATTTATTGCTCGATCTTTGCGCCTGTGCATCGCAAAATGCGTTGAAACGAAACATTAAAGAAATGTCTGGCCAGAAAATATTGACGAGTTTGGTTGCGTCCCTGTAAATCGCGAAGCGTAACCAAAGGATGAGTAGAAGCGTGCCGGTGAAAAGAAAAGTGTCACCAGTGTGCCAACATTCGTACCGTCACGCTAAGAGTACAATTAACGTAACTACGTGCTATGCAAAGTTTCGCATCTCGAAGAATTTGTAATGACATTATTTTACGAACGAGAGTTAAACGACAGTTCTAGCGTTCGAAAATCGGAACGATTGCCAGATCGTATCCGCGTTCCCGTCAATGCTTCCGCTAATTAACGTTTGGCCAATTCCGTATTTTGTCGGAAGTTCAACGAGCGTGTAACATGTAGGTACGTTTCCTTTATTTTCTGATTTCCCGTAAAACGCCCTTCTGTCGGATCAATTTGTTTCCATCGAAAGAAAATCTTGGTCGAAATTTATAGCTTTCGCTATTGATAGATTCATGGATCGAACTAGTATACATATAAAAGAATCTTACTAGATTTATGAAAAACGGCATACAATAGATTGTATCCTTCGAGCATAGATATAGCTGGAAGCTCGAAATACAATAGAACAATTTGTTCCGCCTGGATGTTTACGATGTCACCGGCTATCAAATCTAGTAATCGCATGTCGTAGCCCGTTGCAACATACTTAAAAAATTTGTCTGTCTATCGTGCGTGAATCGTTGGCAAGGTTGAAGGAAAAGAAAACTCGCGATTCCGAAACTGTGACCTATCGTAACGAGGAAAACGACTCGAGCTGCTTTCGAAAGCGTGCAATTCCTATGAAAGTAAGTTTACTTTTCGGATAAACTTTATATCGAATCGAGCGAGCAACGCGTTTTGAGAAGATAGATTTATTATTCGCTGTAAAGTAAAAAAGTCCAAGGAGAAAAAATCCGTGTTTTATGCAAAGGGATTGGAGAGCATGCAGACATCACGGAGTTAATTTAAAGCAAAAAAAGAGGGAAAGGTCGTCGATGGAACGAGAAAATTCGTTGCACGAAAGAGGAGAAAGATAAAAGAAAGAAAAGAGGAGGAGCAGGAGGAGGAGGTAGCATGGCAGAGAAAGAGAAGAGGAGAAGCAGGGTCGCGGAAAGGTGACAGAAGAAGATACGACAAGGACCAAGAGATCGCGGAATGGAGCAAGAGCGGAGTAATCAATACGCATTCACACGCGGTGGCTAGCATCCCGTTTCCATGGGGACCGACGCTGGCGCATGTGCAACCTAAGCAACGTTGTACCGTCATAGAAATTCGTTCAGATACAACTCCGTGGCAGTCGAGCGCGGAGCATTCCATACACGCCTACCCTCTCGGCGTCGAACCGTTTAATCGGCAAGCTTCGAATCCCCTTCGATTGCTCCCAGAATTCCACGCGCTTCGATCGCTGCACCTAATTGCACCTAATTGCACGAAATTGCACGAAATTGCACGAAACTGAACCATCTTACCCCTTCGGCGCGATCAATCAATTACGTAGATCGTGTTCGTCGTTCGCTGGCAGCGGTAACGCGTCGACGATAGCCAAATTTTTAAGCTAAAACATAAAAAAGATAAAGACGAAGCTAGGTATACGGGAAATAGATGTTCCCTCGAGGACAGTCATCCGGTGTTCTATCGTTGTCACCGTAGAATACGGTGCAGCGTTCGACTCTCGGATGTTCACCCCTTGGCCAAGTCAGAGGGGATAGAGGTGTTGGAGTTAGCGGGTAACAGGGGGTGCTTCTCCATCGAGCGCCTGCGTCGA